TTCAATTGTACTGTCCCCCTTTACAGGCTGATCAAAAGCACAGGGGGGTACAAAGGGGACCTTGTGCTGCTGCCTTGAAAGGCCTCCTGCCAGTCACAGTAACTCTCCCTTACCTTTCTGTAGGGTTTCCTGAGGGTCTGTGTGTCTGCCAGGGGAAAACAGAGAGCTGGGGAGGTCAGAAAAGGTGTCTGGAAAGCATGCACAGGACCAGGCAGCAAGAGAGAAGTGGATGAGGTGAAGGGGAAAGAGCAGGGAAGAGTCAGGGTTTCTCACCACCTCCCTTTGAAAGCCAGCACAGGGCTGGAAGAGATACCCCATGCTGGAGGTGTGTGATACACTTCCCGAGTGGCACAGGACAGATCAGGAATGGTAAGGGCTTTGTGCTGAGCCTGGCTAGCCCCAGTGCTTCCAGAGCTGTGATGGGTGTCTCTGGTGGCGCTTTCAGAGCTGCTAATTCTGCCTTTCTGCAAGGCACTGCAGCTGCTGCAGTGGTTCAGTGCAAGACTGTGCGTCCAAACCTCACATATCTAGCTTTACACATAGCTTCATTTAGTCAAGATAAAATTAATCTAAATGAAATGGGTGCAGCATGCTTCCAGAACGGAGGTAACAAAAATCTTCCATGTACATCAGACTCTGAATTATTTCATCATGAAAGCAGTGGAAGCTCAGAATTCTCCTGTGCTAAGAAGTCAAGTTAATGTCATGTGTCACTGAGTGGACTGGTGACTTTCCCTGTGCTTCCAGCGATTGTTGTCCAATTTATCTGTGACCACAAGATCACAAGCTGTTAAGATCCTCTATTCAGACAATACACAGGCCAACAAATCTGCTTTTATGGGCCCTGCCAGAACTTGACTGATTTCCCCAGTAACGGTGGACCAGTGTCCATAGTTACTTAGCAGAACTCTGCCATTTTTAAGCCACATCACTGCACAGATGCATGCCTCAGACCCAGAACACCACCAAGGTGCCTTATGGGCTGTAAAGAGAGCCTCAGATGGAAGAAGCAAAAGGCTTAAGACCTATTTAATATTGCATGAGCTATTGCTGCCATTTCTCTAACAAGTGCAGACTCTCAGCAGTGCCTGTGTGCAGTTGCTACTGCCAGCACCGATGCTGTATTCAGCTTTTATCTCCCCACCTCTATGTACTCTGCAGAAGCATTAAGAGGATTTCTTCCCCAAAACTGCAGTGTCATCGACAGGTGGACCTTCTCCAGGCTGTGCTGCTTTGTTCAGTCAATAGTTTACAGCTATTTGGGCTATGAAGCTTCCTACATACATTTCCCCTTGAACAGATCACAGCTAAATAGCAAGCGCATTTGCCCCCACATATAAGGGAATTAAACCTAGACTGAGGACTAGCTCTTTGCATGTAATTCTCTAGGGCAGTAGCTCCCTTCCTTGCAGGAGGCTTGGCTTTGAGGGATCTGCCAACAAGCTCAGAGCCATGAGAAATAACAAGTTGGGAGCTCAGACAAGCAGGCAAACAAAAGCTGAAGCTATGAAAGCGTGAGGCAGGCTGGCAGCACAGCCTCACCACTGCCTTAATCCTCTTTCCCTTCTTAAGCACTACATTAATCAATTACATTTCCAACCCAGCAACAGCAGTCAAAAATGTAACCTTCATCATATACAAGGCAAACATAATTAGGATTGTGATTCGAATCCAGCTTGAGCAGCATACAAATCAGAACAGCCTCAGCAAGCATGCAGGTGTGTGAGTGAACCCAGTTCCTCCCAGGCAGAGACAATGGGAATTGCGGTCACACTGGGAGCACCACAGCATATTTATTTCAAGGGAGAGGGCAGTGACAGAGCTCTGGCTGCAGCGATCCAGCTCTGCAGTGCTCTGCTGAGCACTACCCAGACAGGGTGGTGGCATGTTATACAGTGCACACTCAAGGCAACCCTCTAGTTGTGTCAGGGAGGAAGCCACAACCTGCCCTGCCACAGCACATAAGCCCGAGCTCCCTGCCTAGCACTGCATACACCACAGAGCCTACACGGATGAGATAGCACAAAAATGAGAGGCTTTGGCAACTCTGAGAATGGTTGTCAGTGTGAATTCGTAAGGAGTGAGCAGTAACTATCCCCTTTCCTGTCTACTGACAGGCAAAGTGAAACACAGGGGGATAAGCATGCTGTGCAATGGCAAGAGCAAGCCAAGCGCAGTCAATGAAATCATCAGCCCAGGCCTCAAAAGCAATCAAAAAGGCAAAGTAAGTGCTAGGAGACAGAGCAAAACCACAAACCTCACTGCTATTGGGTAGCTCCAGGGTGCATCTGCATCCCCACGGCTGTTGTGCCAATTTGCTAAAGGCTACAGCAGGACTAGAGAAGGGGGAGGGAGCTGGTTAGGGGTGATCTAAGGTCTAAAAAGGCTTCTGGATGAGAGCAAGATTCTTCAGCCTAGGAAACAGAAACTTGAGAGGTTTATCATTTGAGAGTAGCTTAGAGAAGATGAATAAGGAATGACTGCCTGCTGCCTCTTTTAAAAGCTACAAAGCATCAAAAGAAAACTGTAAATGACAGATTCAGAACGAAGTAAATATTTCTTCACGCAACACACAGCTGAACAGTGGAACTCATGGCCAGAAGATGCTGTGGATGCCCCAAATTTGCTCGGGCTCAAAAAATGTTCAGGAAAAACATGTGAAGGACTATGAAATGTAGAGATCCCCACCTCACGAAATGTGCAAATTACAGATGGTTGATGGCAAGGGGGTATTCAGGAACAGAGTGACCTGCAGCCCCCTGTTTTTATGCTCCTCGCTAGGCATCCTCTATTAACCACTGGTAATTCAGGATTCCAGGGCAAAGAGGTCTGCAGTCTGTTCCAGTACAGTTACTATTCTGTTTCTGCCACTGACTGAGCTATCCTTACTTGCCCAAAAGGCCAGGAGCTGGGAGTTTTTCCATTACTGGAAACTGGGATGATAACAGGGTTACAGCACAGCTTACAGCACAGAACTGAGTGACTAGTGAGAGGGTTTCTGTTTACCTTCCATTTTTCCTGTTTCTCATTTTAAGAAAGACTTTCAGTAAAACTCTTGTCAGCCATGCTGCACCCAGCTAGTTGCAGTTGGCAGCCCCTTGTACAGCTGTGTTAAGGTTAGAACAAATTAATATCCTTCTGAGAAGTGCTAATATATCCACTGGGATGAGGCGGGGCCTCAGAACCCTAGCTTGTGGTGACTGTGAGAGACCCTGCCTCCTCCCCATACATGCAGCAAACCTTGTTGACCACCTTAGCTAGAGAAATACACCCACCAGCTGTCATATGCCCTTCACATACAAAGGGCAGAATCATTTCTTTGTCTACAAAGAACTGCCATCCAGCCATTCTCCCTCAGTAAACCCAAGCACTGGTGTGTTTCTCTTTAGCTCCTATTATTCATGTTATTGTAGTGTCTCCAGTTTTAAAACACACAGACCAGAGAGCTTAACTGCTCCTGCAAGTGTTTGTTTGTCAAGAGGATTTGATCTGTGGTGGGATATTTCAAACTGGCACTCACTTGGAAGTAGAAGGTATCCTGGTACCAGTGCCATCCTCTGAGGCACTTGCTTGCCTTTGTTCTCCCACTGTCTTGGAACAATGCACACGAGCTTATCCTTGCCTACGTGTAAATTGCAGATTATGTTTCCTTCTTCTGACTCTTGGAGATAAGGTATGAGACAATTCAGCCATACAAAGCCATCCAGCTATTAAACCGACCCTTTGGTTACAAACCCTGCTATTGCCGCTTCTCCTTTCAGCAGCACTTGCAGAACAGAGCAGGCAGAAGCACAAATCTAAGGCAGCCTGTCTAGTTGCCTCCGCTGACACCTTTACCCATCGCTCCAGCCAGTTATTGTCCTTCCCTTTGCTCTCAGTGACACTCCTGCAGCCATAATGCTGCACCCCAAACAAGTGATTTTCTCTTGACCCAGCCTCTCTCAAAGCTCTCCAACCAGATCCTTAAATCCTTACTCAGCATCTACTCCCTCCAAATGGAATTAGCTTGAGTCAGGCTCAGTGATATCTCAGGATCTGTCACGCTAATTTCTCTCTTGCAGGTTCTCAGATAGAGCAGGTCTAACCAAACACTGAGTAAAAAGTCAGGATTTGGCCTGTCATGATTAGAGACCCGCGTAAATGCTGTGACAAAACTGATGCATTGGCCTGGCTGCTGTAGAGTCCAGCTCCATTTTGTCCCTGTTTCTTCAAGCCAGACTGAAGTCACCCACAGCGCATATGAAAGAGGCTGCAATGATGCAGAACACGCACGTCTCCAGCCCCATTCACAGCTGAGAAATGCTGAGAAAGGAAATGAACCTTGCTGGCTCTGTACACCAAAGAGCCACAGCCATCCCCATTCCCCCAAAGTGAAGATCCAATGACCACAAGAACATTCTACTGCATATGCATCGGATTATACTTGTCTAAGGGATGCACAAGGCAGTAAGAACTTCAGGTTGTTCCTATAGCTGTGTGCCCTCACATTACAGCTATCACACACTCCTCCTCTGTGTGCAGGACTTACGGTCCATCATGGGTACCCAGGCTCAGTTTGGTGATAGCCCTGAACAGAACTGAGCCTACGGCTCCAGCTCCAGAGTGGGTCAGGCTGAGCCACCACGACCCAGTTGCCTGCAAAACCTCAGGGGTTTGAGGTGGAATTCGAGCATTGTATATTACCCTGTCGCATGGCAGTGATTTTAAACTTGCTGTGCACTGCTGGAGGAGGAAGGAATGCATAAGAGGAAAACACTTTTACCCACAGCAGGTAAGGAATAGTGCCAGTATCATACTATCACTTGGAGACAACGGGTGGCGGGCAAAATTCCTACCACTTTGTTAAAAACACCTCCTCTGGGTCCAACAACAGACCAAGAGAAAACATAGCCCACAGAAGAAGTCCCAGACAGATGGCGTGTTTTGAACCACTATTAATCTTGACAACCTTTTGCAGCGTTCAACGAGTTTGCCTAGGGAAAAAAAAACCAAACTCCCCAAAATGCTTGGATGCAAGGGGCGCTCCCGGCAGCATCCGCTTTTCTCCTTGTCTTTCCCACCGAGCATTTCTCGGCACAAGAGGCGCCTTAGGGAGAAGGGGCAGCGAGGGCTGCCCAGCCACTGGGGAGGCGGGTGCTGGGGCTGGGACCCGAGCAAATAAAAGACCCCTTGGGCGTTGCTGCTCCGGGAGTGTCGGGAACCACCAGCGGGGAGCACGGGGAGCCGGGGCGGAGCCGCCCAGACCCCCGCCTCCCCCGGCACCTCCCCCGGCCCACAGCCCCGTACCCGCCTGGCCCAAAGCACGACGGCATCGCGGTCGGAACGCGGCCATGGGCTCCCGCCTCAGCCGGCAGAGCAGCCTGGAAGAAGAGAGCACCGAGGAGCTCTGCGCCGGCAGGCTAGAGGGCGGCCGGGGCGACTTCCACCTCTCCTCCCTGCTCCTCCATCCGCAGAAGCTGCCCGGGGTGCTGCGGAAAGCCTCGCCAGCGCCCTACGTGCGGCGTGTAGGGTGGCTGCGGGAGATCCAGGCCACCATCCGTGAGCACAAGCGGGAGCACGCCGTGCACATCCTCAGGCTGCTTCGCAAGGTAAATGCTGAGAGCTATGAGGGGCCCCGGCCGCCACCTCCGGGGCAGGGCGGGCAACAAAGAGCTGTGCGCGGCGCGGGCGGTGCCGGCCGGGCCGGGGTCTGCAGAGTGGGGCGGGGAGCCGGGGTTTACAAGCTCCCCTCCTCGGCAGTGCGGGGTTTGCAGCTCCCCTCGGCGGGGTGGGGCGGGCTGGGCTCTTTGTGCTGCCTTTCTCCGCTCTCGCCCCGGCGGTGCGGGAGATGCCTCGCTAGGTACCCGCCGCAGCAGGCAGAAGCGGCTGCCGGAGGCGACACCCACCCGGGTTCCCGGCCACCAGCCCGGCTCCCTGTCTGGGCGCAGGGGCTGGAGGATTCGGCTGCTGGCAGGAAAAGGGGGGTCCAAGCCTCAGCTGTGCCCATCCACACCCCTCAATGCAAGTCGCTGGGTGCGCTCAGGATTGATGTCCCCCGGAGAAAAGCCAGTGCCGTCCCGCTGCCACCACATCCCATTGTGTCCATCCAGCCAGGCTGGACAAGATCTGGTTTTTGGGAGAACCCAAAATGGGTTTGGAGAGGAAGAGTAGCTCTGTGAGAGTCTTCACTGAGAGGAGAGGTAAAGGGGTCAGTGTATCAGTGGAAGCTTTTTTCTGTCTGCTACTATTCAGGAACAGAAAAGCCAGTGTGCAGACAGTGTGGTGCCAAACTGCTGCTGAGGACAGAGCCCTGCTGCTGGAACAGAGCCATCTACTCCATCGCTTAGTGCTACCATCACTTTCCAGGCAAACTCAGCTCCCCCAGCTGCAGGCAACTCTGCAGTCAGTAGCTCAGGGGATGAATCCTCCCTCTGATTTGGACATAAACCACCATCAGTTCTTAGCTTTCATCTTTGTTAGATAATGACCTACATAATCCTGGGAACATACTGAGTTTGTAGCCATAGTGGCAAGTAATCTTTGGGCTACTCAGGGAGTACACTGGAGCAGGACTGCTTGCTGGGATGCTTGCAGCCATATTACCAGCTGCAGGGAGCTGCATTAGTAGCCCTCTCTGCTCTGAATGTCCTGGGCTTTGCAACACCTCCAACAATGGTGGTCAGTGCCCTGTGTTCCCAGCAAGTTGCACACTTAGAAATAAGAACTTACAGGACCAAACCCTACATCTCTACTTTTCCTGTTCACTGCCTTAGCATTCACATGAGGATTGCCACCAGCTCAACACTGTTCTTGCCACACATGTAGACTGATAAACCCTCAGCAGAAAGCCTGTACCAGTGTGGCAGAAAAAGGTGGAATAACATTTCAAAGGCAGTTTGGAGAGGCACCATTACAAGAAGCTTCTGAAAAGAGAAGCAACCACTCACTTCATAAATGCAGCCGTGTAACATGAATAGACTTTTGTAGAGTATGCTCAAGACCAGAACTACAGAATGTTATTTTCTATAGTGCTCAGCACCTCTCCTTGAGACTGCAGCACTGAAATCCTCCACCAGCCTCGGAGGTCTCCAGAAGATCCAACTGTGAACAGCCAGGGTTTGAATGCTAAGTCACAGGGCCATCTGGCATGGAGGGTCATTTCTAAGCCCTCCTTTCAGGACCAGTTAAACATTCAGCACATCTGCACTGAGAATCATCATGTCCTGAACATCAGATTTTGTCCACTGCCTTTCCAGTTCCTCTTGTTATTCGTGGTCCCCATCTCTGCCTGTCCATGTTGGAACAGTGACCCTCTGTGCATCTGCTCATGACAGAGCAGTGAGACATGCATCCTGTAGTCACAACACAGTGAGATGGGAATCCATCCAACACCACCCCAAAGACTCCGGTTCGCTGTGTGCTCAGATATTTCAGAGACACAAAGCTACACCTCTAATACACACCACAACCTTCAACAACTAAACACAACTGTCAGCCAGTCTGGGGTCGTGTAATCAAGAACCAGCATCAGCTTAGAGGGTACTACGATCAGCCTTTTTTCCCATTTACAAATTTACCTTGTTCCCCAACTAAATTCAGCCCTTAGCTTGGTCCCCAAGCATGTCCTTCCTTACACAGACTGGCCTACCTTGGCAGTAAGATGCTCTAAGGAGTCGCGGATTAATGTGTCCCAGGTAAGAGTCTGTTTGTAACCTGTAAAAAGAAAGAGATACCTTGGTTAGTGGACAGTGATATTTAACACCATACCTCATCACTGTGCCTTGGGCAGGGTACAAAAACCCCAGAGAAGGCAGAGCAATGGTGAGACCAGAATCACAGCCTCCTCAGGTGAGCAGGCACGCTCAGCCAGACCAGAGCTCACAGGGTGCTGGTGTGTGCCTCCTGCTGCAGGCAGCCTGCTGCTCCCGGCAAAGAGAGACCTTATCCAGCCCTGTAGATGTACACTGCAGGGTGTAATTGTATCTGCTAGTGGGTTTTGACTTGCGTCTACAGACCCCAAAGGGCTGTGGACTGCTCTAGGATGTGGGGAGGGTGTAATGAAGTAAAGCAAGCCAGCCAGAAGCAGATCCACTAACACAGATGCAAGGTCTCACCGTTTTAGAAGACTGCACTGAGAATAACCACAAACCATAGGTATACACTCAGGTACGCTTGCTTTGTACAGGAACACCTGGACAACTCACTGCACATCACCTTACCAGTCTCAGAAATACCACTTGCAAAAGGCAGCCCAGATTTCTGCTGGTCTAAATGGACATCACTCAGCTGAAGCCAGGGCAGACAGTGGATTTACACCAGTACAAAGTCTGGTACAATCTGATATCCCTGCACCCAGACAATGGCCAAGTATAATTTTTAAGATAACAGCACTAAGCAAACTGATCTGGCAAGACTTACAATATTCTGCTGTCTGCAGCCATCCTTCATGTGGTTTAAAATTTTCCAAGAAATGATAGAGGGAAGGAGGGAAGGAAGTAAGTAAAATGAACCAGAAAACATCCCTGGGCTAAGAATTTATGGACTATCAACATGAAGTGAATATTTACAGCTATATTACTTACAAAGCCCTTGCAGGCAGGATTTATAATGGGAATGCAGATTCATCTTAATAGTATAGCTCCAACTGGGGGAGTTTAATTACTGCTCTGACATCCACTGCTGCATGCCCAGCCATGCCATCCACTCAGCAGCTTTCTTCATCTGTGCATATTACACTTGGCGTAGGAGGCTCCATTTCCCTGAAGCCTTATGGTTAAGGGAGACATTGGCATGGTGCCTGGGTATGCTCCTGGCCCACATCCAGCTGTGTCTGGCTGGCTGTCTTTCGGGACTGATCCACTGCTTGGGTTCCTTGCTTGCTTATGGGTGTCATCTGTGTACACACAGTAACAGGGCTGTAAAGCATTTGGTTTATCAACCCTTTCTCCACTAGATCTGTAGCCAGGGTCTCTCTGGTATTGTGCTCTCTGCTCAATCCAGGCAGGAGAGAGTAGATACAACACTGGCTGTACTTGCTGCTTAAGGTTAAGATCCCACACCACTGCTAGCTATGGCTCTGTCCCTGCTGCTGATGGGTGTGTGTACACCCAGCTGGTTTTTTTCTGTCTGTCCCCTTTTTTCCCCTGAGCATTCAGTGCACCTTTCACTGGTGGTGCACACATTCCGTGGAGCAGCGCGAACATATGGGGCACCCATTTGCTTATTCATTTCTCCTGGCAGCAGCATACAGAATGTGCACAGGACTTGTTTCATTCCTCAGCCGAGCCTTCCTTGTCAACTGAATCAAACTCAGCACTGTCCCTATTAGGGAGCTCCTTTGTTCTACATTCTTAATCCTGGGTTATTCTTTTTTCTGTCCTTGAGGTATTTTCAATGTGTGTGGTCTCTCTTTACCGGATGCCCTTTTTTTATTTTCACAGCCCTGTGGCACCTCCTGATTGGAAGTAACTGTGCCATATATTAGATCTTAGCTTTCCTTTTACCAAGAAACAGCTTAGTTCTTTGGAGTATCACCCATCTGATGCCCCTCAGAGGCTTTTGTGTTCCCAAGGATGCTGAGGTTTCTTCCAGCACGTCCAAAGGTGCCTTGTACTCAAAGTCCATGCAGGTTAGTTGCATGGACTACAGATATTCCCCCAGCTCATGCAGGAAGAGGACTCCCCATGACTGTCATGGTAGAGCTACCTATAAATTTACCATTACACCCAAAAGGCAATACTAGCAGTGTTAGCACTTAGTGAGAAATTCAAAGGACAGCTAAACTCATATTGATGGGCAGGACTTCTGCTCTGCCAGCCATGACTGGGGCATATGGCAACATCTGAATACCTGAGAAAGGTTTGATTCTTCCTGGAAAGCTGAGATTGGAGAGGCATTTTTAGAGCGAGCCTTCCTGCACAGCTTCTTCAGCATATTCGCACATACATGCTGACAAAGCTGTGAGCTTCTCTGGAGCTAATTCTCTCTGGGCTCCAGCCATCCTGGGAATGATACCACTCTCACCTTCCTATGGTAAGTGGAAACAAGGTCCTCAGTCCATAGGCTGACTAGCTGAACTTAACACTGCATCTCATTCAGCTCTTTGGCTGTCCACATTCCCCATCACCGTGATGCTGAGTCAGACACAGCTGCTTCACCTTTGTTGGATAGTTTCCTGCATTGAACAACCAGCTGGCACCTCATCACATTTACTTTCTAGTTTCAAAAAACCTCATTATTATAGCTTCAAGGAAGCCTGTGTATCTGACTGACTGTTTTTCCTGTAGGACCTGGGATTGGAAGGAACATTTCTCAATGAAGTGCTCTACAAAAACGCAACTTTCCTCAACTTGGTGGATCCCATCTCCCACGATTTGCTGATGAGCCTTGCTAGAGATCTGCAGTGTCCCAAAAAGGTGAACCCTTGCCCCAGCCCAATGAATACTTTGCAACATAGCACTGATGCAGAGAGCCCTAATGCAGCGGTGGGTGATGGGTGGTGCTCTGCAGTCTTTCAGAACCAGCCAGTGTATGCCCTTGGAGTGGTAGCATATAGATTACACATAGATACAGCATAGATTGTGATATATGTTTCTGTAGAAATGAGTTAAAACTACCTCAGAACATGAATGCAACTGAAGGAGGGGGTGGTTTTGTGCACAGAAATCACTATTTTTGTGCCAATAGTAAACTTGATGACAGGGTACAGGCCAGATAAAAATGTATGGGGTGGATAGTGGTGCCATACTGACTGGGACACGGCAGGGGTTCCAAGCAGCTAGCTTATCAGGGGGCTTACGGAGCTGCAGAGTGGAACAGAGATCTCTGCACCTCTGCCCAGACTGGTACCTCTGCAGGAGAACAACCTCCCTCTTGCCAGGCCCTTTGCTATATGTAACTGCCTTTGCCCAGCATTACATCCCTGCTATAACCTTCCAGATCCCTAAGAGCAGCACTGTAGGAATACATTACAACTCAGAGTCCAAGAAGCAAACATATTAGTGCACAGTAGCCCTGCACTGCTTCAGCACGTTCCTTCAGAGACTGAGGAAAACAGAGGCAGGGCTGGGTGTAGACAAACATCACGGATACACAGTCCCACTGCAATACCAGTATCTTTTCGTTAACCAGTTTTGTTTTGTAACACCAGTAACTTTTGTTACTCTTTGCCACCACAAACACTTGGATTTGCAATACACCCGTTTACTCATCAGGCTTGGCAAGTGTCATGTTTGCTTTATAAGGACAGCAATAGAGTGAATTTCTTTATTCAAAGAGATATTACTTACACAAAGCTCAGAGCAAACAGCAGGGCCCTAGGGAATACATCGAATGCTTGCTGTAGATTACTGGCATTTCTAACCTTGTTCTGTCATCTCCTGAAGCTCTTATAACAATTAACCTGTCAGGTGTCAACAGACAAAGTACATTTAGACAAAGTTCAATTCTCATAACTGGGCTGGAATGCAGCCTGAATAAGATCTTTTAAAGTGTAGTTTTAGTGCAAATTTTATAAGCATCTAAAAAGGAAGGGGGTGGGTTTCAGCAACACCTCTTAACCATACTTCACTTGACCTCACCTCCTGCTGTTGTACCAGACCATCTCCAACCTCACACTGTGCAGAGCCCTTCAGGGGAGGCAGCACAAGGGGACATGACCTTACACAGGTACCTAGCAAATAACACTACAATTCTTACCTACCTGCATATACTTCTCCTCCTCTGTTTTCCATGTATTATGTGACATATGTACCATTATATTGATAAGATTTTCCCCAATCTTAAGGAAAATGTTGAGTACCTGAGCTGACCCTCAAAACCAGCAGGAGGGCTGGAGACACTCAGTAAGTACCCCACAGCACCAGCACAAACACCAGCAGTCCATGTCCCCTCTCTGACCCTGGCTGAGCATCTGGTGGGTGTAAATGCATTACAGGCAAGCAGGCTGAGTGCAATTCCCAGTCTGTCAGTGGAAATTAAATCAATGAGGACATGGGAAAGAACAGGAGGGTAATTCTCAGTTGTGAGCCAACAAATGCTTGCAGAGCATTGTGCCAAACTCTGCGCTGAAGCCTGCAGTGCACGTGCACCCACTTGGAAAGGTTTGCTGTTTTGGTGACAGCAGGGTGCTACTTGCAGTCTTGCCAGCATTGTAGTAGCCTAAGACAAGGCACCTAACCTAAGGGCATGGGCCAGTCCTTGTGGGGTTCCTAGGGGACCTGTGACAGTGATGAGGGAGCGCTCAGCTGAGCACTTAGGCTGGGATCCCTCTCCAGTTGGCACAGCACAACAGCCACATGCTGGCAGCGCATCCCTGGAGAGTTGAGCTGATTCAGTGACTGCTGAGGAAAGCCACAGTGCAGCTGCTGGCCCACAGCACAGCACCGTAACCACTTGCCATAAAGAATGAATTAGTGTATTTCCCTACAGCTTTACTATGTGTTTACCTACCAAATCCCTAAATGCACATGTTGCACAACAGCTGGAGGGCTGAGGAATGGGAATGCAGGTGTCTGCCAGCATTTGGCAAATATGATAAAGAGGACAGAAATCCCAGCCTTCAGCAGCTGCCATTTGCCATTCTGCTTCACCAGAGGAAGAGAGGTGCTGTTGAAAGTCAGGGCAATAGAGAATACATGCAAAAATAAACTCAAGAAGGTATCAGACATCTTGGTGCCATCTTTTTCTGATGAGTTACTACTGCAGGGGCTGGAGGAAACTGCTGGCATTAGGAAGTGCCCAAACTCAAACCTCCAGTAGCAGAATGGACACAAGGATGTAAGATGGAGTATGCGGCACTCACTGATCCCTTTTCCTGCTATCTCCTAGCTGGAACACAGGAGGAAACAAAGTCAGGGTGCTGCTGGAGGCGGAGCAGGGATATCCCAGGGCACATCTTTTCCAGCAAGAAACACCTCAGGAACAGGGCAAGGTGCTGATTGCTAAACTTTCCATATCAGGGTACCAGATAAGTCAGTCCGAAGACATGTTGTAGTGAGAGTTTGGGAAGCATGACAAGGGTCATTAAGAGAAATTTAGCAGAGTCCTGTACCACACTGTTGGCAGCTTATCTGCACAGCTGGGGACAAGTGCTGCTGAGGATACAGCAGTGAGGAGCCGAGACACCCATGCTGTCCTTGCACTAGGCTTTAAACAACAGTGGAGGTCTTCTGAAGAAAAGGGTGTAGGGGGTCCCCGCACAGAGCCCCTCACACTGTCAGCCACCTCTGCCCTCCTGGGTGTTGCCTGGCCTAGAGCCAGACTCCCTGCCACAGCTCTAGAAAATAACCCCTCTTCTGAGCTTCACTTGCTCCTGGGTAGGCTGTGAAAGTGTAGCCCCACTTTGGGCAAGAACATATTTGGATGGGCTGGGGTCCTTCCTAGCAGTGCACGGCTCTTGCTGCTCCTCCTCCACCTCAGGAGGAGTTGGCATCTAGCAGAGGCACCTCAGGCCTTCTCACCACTGCTCTTTCATCCTCTCTCTTCATCTCTTCCCTTATATACATGCACCTGCTCCACTACCACCTCTGCTCCTTTCCCATCTTCCTCTGTTTCCCCCCCTTGCCTCCTCCTCTGCTGTGGTGCACACAGAGTCTAAGATGTCCTTTTGCTTTCAGGAATATGACCCCTGGAAATCCTCAGACAGGATCTGCAGGCAGCTGATTTACCACCTAACACCCCACTCAAAATGGCACCGGCACGGCATGCCCCGAAGGAAGTCCCAAGTGTGGTAAGCAGCATGGCAGGGATACTGTGGATGGGCATGGAGGGGGATCTACCAGGAGAAACTGTGCACCATCCCAGTCTGTCACTGGGATGCCACTGGCCTTCTCAGAGAAAGGTAGGACTGAAAACCTGCGTGGCAGCCACTGCTCAGTTTCTTAAAAAGCCTCAGGCAAGCAGCACAGGGTAAGAACCAACACCCCTCTCCCTGGCCTGCTTGCTATTTACTCCTTTTATATAGTGTTACAGTTCCTTAACCTCTCCCAAGTGCATCAAAATCAATCCCGTTGATTGCAAAGTGCAGACAACTCTCCTGTCAGGGCTTGCAGGGTGTTTGGCTCCCAGCTCTTCATCCCACTTTGTCCTTGTTTATCCCAGTAAAACTTCCCAGCCTGCAGGGAAGATCTCCTATTAAAAGGCACTACCACAAGCTGATCACCCCACTCAGCAGGAACCACTGTGGGGTGGCTGGCTGAGGGGTGACCATCTTTACTTACCTCCCATTTCTCTGCCAGGACTAGAAGGACCTGAGATGGCGTAGAACCTCAAGTATGGGGAACCCAACTCAGTACAATGGCCACTGACAGCTGCTGGCTGGCAGCTGCTTTCCACTACTACAAACATATCAGGCACTCACACTTCTTTCCTTGCATCTCAATGGATTTTTCTAACAGATAAAGAGCAATCCCTACTTCTTTTAAATCCACCCCTTCTTTCCTAATTTTCTTCAAGCAAAGCCTGTTCTGGTGACACAGATCACCACTGCTGAAGAAAAGACAGACAAATTGCTAAGAAAAGAGGTCATGTCAGTCCCATTAGCTTCTCAGGAATAAATGCAGGATTGGATAAAAGAAGTGCAAAATTGGCAGCACTCTGAGAATGGCCTTGGGCTTTTCTGAGACTGTCAGTCTTTGATGCGTGTACCAGCAACTTAAAATCCCCCATGGAATTGCCATTTCCATCATACCTTTCATTCTGACTCAGAGGCAGCTCCCCAGTGCATCTTAAGGAATAAAATCCCTAATATCATGATTTCCAGGCTATCTGCCATTCATACCTGTAGCCCCATTTTACCACTGTGAGTTTCAATGCTCTCAATCCCAGCATTCCATGGGGCAGGACTGTTCATACTGGTTTGCAGGTGGGAACCACAGCACAGAACAAGACTGAGGGACCAGAGATGAGCGAGTCCTTTTCCAGATCCATTCAGTTAGATGACATTTTCCCTATGGGATCCTGCGGAGCACTAGAGATGCAGGATATAGACAGTAGATCAGACCTCAACCCCATCCATATCCAAGATAGAGAGACTTAAAGATAAGAAGCGCTGAAAATACGTAGAACTCTGTAGAGGGTGGCTGTCTCAATGCCCCATTCTGTTTTTCAAAGTCAAAAGTCCCTCCCTGCTGCTGCTAACTCAACCCTCTGCCTGTGTACTCCTCTTTGCAGTACAAACCTCTCTTCCAGTTGGACTCCAGAATGGAGAGTCCAACTGGAGATGTTCCCTGATTGCACAGTCCAGAGGACTGCCTGCTGCAAACTCATCACTTACTAACACCACAGAGAGGTCTGTGGCCAGAGAAAGAGCTCTGGGCCCCATGAGCCCAAATCCCACACAAAAGGGTCAAGCCAAAAGGTACAGCGCATTGGCCAGAAACAGAGTATCTGTGAGCATAAGCAGGGAGAGGGCAGCAAGACAATATGCAGTGGAGGGAAATGCAGGTCTAAAGTGGGCAGCCCTGCCTGGCAGTCAGGTCCAGCTGCACAGTGTTACATAAAGCACAAAATAATTGTGGTTAAATATGAAACAGCAGAGCTTTACTTTTAAGAGTGGAGAGGAACTGGCTTTCAGCAAAAGTTCCTGTAGAGCTGATACCCAAGGCTGCTGCAAGAAAATGGATGTTGTCAGTATCAGGAAGGCAAGAAATAGCTGCTTCATTTGGAGGTGCAAGCACCTGGTTTTGTCCAGATGGGCTGTTTTAACCTGATCCAAATACTCTGCTTCCATCTATCTGCTAGTGGGAATATTTTACTACAGTGTCTGTCTCTGAAGCCCATGCCCTTGGCTTGCACCCTTCCTGCCATCAAGGTCCTGTAAAAAGTATGGGTGTAGCAGTAACACTTTGAAGGCATTTCTAAAATCTAGTGGGCATTTGGGACCACAGGGAGGAATCACTGCATGGAGACCACACTGAGGAACTGAATACATTTTTACATTTTCCTCTTGCTTTTGTGGTCCCCTGGGCTTTGGCTTCTGGCTTTCACTGAGCTGATGGAGGACCCCCTTGTTCTCTTCTGAAATGCGATTTCTGCTTTCTGGCAGCATGTTAGATGGGCCCAGGAGATAATTAATAAGAGAGCTTCCAGCATCTGCCAGGTTCTAATTACATTTGGGTTCTTATGGAGAGGTGGTATGGGAGATGAAAAGGACCTGCAATACTGGGACCAGATCACACATAAGATGTTCCTCCCCACTGCCAAATAGCAAACTAACTGTAGTTACATCCCTATGTCTTCTCAGTGGGACCCAAAGCATCCAGCAAGTAGAAACCTGAGCCACTCATGTACTAATAAAGAAGAAATAATAAGGTACATCAAGCTCTCCTGTTATGATATACAGGCCAGAAGCAGAGTCCATACAGAAACATAGAAGAAGAAAGCTTACGGCAGCACAGTCAACATTGCAACAGTAGAAGAGGTCCATCCCAGGCTGTGTCTGTTTTCTCTGCCTGATTAAACTGTCAAAGGTGATGCTGGGAGGCAATTTGCTCTCTGTATCTGTGCCTCTGGGTTCTTGGCAGTAGCTGTCTGCCTTGTACAGTGAAGGGTTATCAGTGTCCCAGCTGTGCAGTCACCCAAAGAGACTATTTCAGCTGCCCAGATGATACTGAGAAAGCTTGCCATACTGAAAGCAAGGGCTTAATTCTCCTTTGCTGCAAAATCCTATCTCAGATCTGCAGCTTCCAGCCAACAGCCACATCTCACTTGCAGCTGACCTTATTGGGTTGGCTGCCTGACCAAACAGAGAAAGTGAGATCTTGGGGGATTTAAAATTAAAACCAGAGAAACTGGAGGATAATATTTCACAGAAGGGACCAGCACAACTTTGCTGCACAGTTTTCAGTCACTTACATCCTCCTGGGAATTCAATTATAGCACCATTTTACAGTTGTATAGATCACTCACACTTAACGAGCAGAATTCATCCTAGAGTGTTGTATAACTCCAGCTTCACTTCCTTACTAAATGGACATTTATAGTGTAAAGAGTAATGGATGAAGAAATGCTGCTCTGCACACAGGAGCTTTTTAGGCTATCAGCACCACTTCTGGGGAATTTTGACAGATGCAGGATTTTTTTTATATTATTAATTCTGTTTTCAAAAGTTGAGACCTTCTGCAAAGCTAAATTAAGGAAAACTGTATGTGCTTTTGCAAGTGCCACCATCTGCCTCCAGAACAGGGCTAGACCCAGAGGGTGTATTACTTTCTGAGGGCAAGATACACTGGACTGCATTTCAGAGTGGAGAGGGAGAAGGGTATCAAGTGAAGACAGTCTTTGCTTGGAGAGCTGGATCACAGCCTAGCACTGCAACCAAGCTGTGGATTACAACTGAGCTGTCTTAGCAAAAGTCATGTCAGGGAACCTTAATGGATCTTCCACTTGCTTATCCCCAGAGCTGGCTACTTCAGTGTAACTACTTGCTTTCTTAAGTGCAAGGATCAAACCTGAATATACAGTAAACACAAGATGATCTTTACAATCAGGATGTTCCTGGCACAAGAAAACAACTGAAACACCAATAGATTTTCCACACAGTGTCTGGGTCTGGAAAAGCAAAGGCAGTTGTGTGCATGGAGTTAGTAACTCCCAAACTGCATGCATCTGGGCTTTCTGTTTCACAAGTCTCACCACAATTTTACTTTGCTCATCTGAGTGATTTTCACCTTGGCTAATCCAAAGCTGGGTGGAGAACTGAGTATCCCTTCTGGGCTCGTTGCTCCATTTATCAATTATTAATGCACATTGTGCAGACATTGTGGCATTAGATGGGCTTTTAAAATGCAGTGAAAACACTTGTGTCTAGAAGACTGCAAGGAAACAGCTTTAAATGGCTCTGGATCTTTTTTTCTTGAAAACATCACTCAGGGCTGTGGATAACAGCTCTGGCAGATTAAATCCCAGCCTTTACATGGCATGAGATGAATATTAACTACAGCTTTATGTCACCCTTATGCAACAGGGTAAACAGGCCCCATCATTCCTGCTTCAGAGATAGGAAGCCAAGTTAGAGAATACCAGTCAGTAAACTAAAACCACATGGTAGTAGTCATATGGGAGTACAGGAACTACCCCACACAATTTTTCAAGAAACTGCTGCTCACAGAGATGTTATCTGGACAGAGATGAGCTGGTTAGTAAGTTATGGAAAGGCAGGTACTGCCCCCTCATCTTACAGTGCAGAGTCCCAAACAATATGCATGATCAGGGTTCCCAGCAGCATTGAGAGGCAGGTACATCTGCAGAGGCTGTTGGAGATGGTAGAAAGGGTCATCCAGCAGCTTGACACTGCCCTGTCACAGATCAGAAGAGAAAGTCCAAGGCTGGCAAGCAGAAGCTGCAGGACACTCTGACAGAAAGACAATGAGTGAAGCAGTGGAGGCTGGGGGGCAGATGGCAGTTAAAAGGAATCAGCAGAGACCTTGTGCCTTCATGACTCTTACACAGTTGAAGATCTGACAAAGACATAGGCCAATATAGGACATTTACAGTGAGGAGGCAGTATTATTTGCTGTGTTGCTAGGATAGACCTAAAAAAAGAGGAGAAACAACCAGAAGTCTTGGATGGATAACATGGCAGCAGGAGGGAGGACAAGGGTTCACAGCTCTCTTGAACACACCTTCAAGGACAGAGTGAAGATGACAGCAGAGCAAGGAGGAAGAGGTGTTCAGCTGTATCAACACCTACAGGTACCCATGTCCCACCCCAACTGCAGAGGGAGGGTG